TGTAGGTGGAACGCCAGCGGTAGTTGTAGGTGGAACGCCAGCGGTAGTTGTAGGTGGAACGCCAGCGGTAGTTGTAGGTGGAACGCCAGCGGTAGTTGTAGGTGGAACGCCAGCGGTAGTTGTAGATGAAACGCTAGGTAATGTTGTCGAAGAAATCTAAAGAAAACATTGTAACTTGAATACGGGGAAACAATCTTCAGTCGATTAAATAGCCTACATTTTGAGGTGCCAGTGTAATGCTGAAGCAATTGACGTAAAACGTACTGTATGATTGAACAATAGTCGCCCTAAGAAATTATTTGAGTTATGAAAAATTTCCTTCACCCAATAATTCGCTATTCAATACACCGTTCTCAATGACTAATTTTGTGAATGGTTTCATTTCATATAAGCAGTTCTTATATCTCTCATCAATGAAAATTTAGCTTATAAAATAATTCTAGCAATGCTTGCATTTCCAGTAATCAGAAACGGTGGGCACAGCTGATTCTTTTATTTTGCCACTGATCTAGATAAAATCTTAATTGCTTTTGATTTCTTTTTCATCGATTTGAATAAGGTTGGGTGAGTTATGATCAGCGACAAAAATTTCGATTCTGATGTCCAATATGACGATCGTTAAGTTGGACACCAGTATGAAATTTTTCATCATTGATTATAAGCGATACTGTTTCGCTCAAATCAATGAAAATGAAATTAAAAGCACTTAAGAGTCATCTGAAATCAGATGTATATTAACGGACTCAATTTTGCCCGTCTTTTCCGATTACTGGAAGCGCAAACTTCAATGTAGTCTTCAGGGTATGAGTAAAGAGAAGACCCGTACATCATCAATTATCTATGTGTGACTCTTACGTAATATAGTACGAAAAGAGATTTTAAATGAAGTTGTTGATGAAATGATGAAAGGCTAGACCTTTCTGAATTTGATTGAGTATTATGGAAATAAAACTCAATCTGTTTTAGAGTTGTCGGAAAAAAAACAAAAATATCTCACCCATTATTCATTTCGATTTTATTAATGAATGTTGATCGTAGAGGCAGGGAGAGAAAGACAAAGAAACTTACTTGATAACAATATTTCCTTGAATTACCGTGGATGGAGCACTCCAAGTCGCTTGAATTTGAGATTTAGTGGTTGATGATGTTTGTGTAATGCCATTTGATGATGTACCACTACAAGAAATAACTTGAACTGATGAATCAGTCGATGACCAACTGCCCAAAATGTTTTGACCACTTGTATCTTTAGCAACCAAAAGAATACCTTTGAAACGATTGGAACTTGTTGCACCCCGAACAGTAACTGAAAAAAAACCAAGCAAGTTAAGAAAATCATGATAGACTAAATCACTTACTTTGAATAGTATCACCACTGCTGTATTGATACTTGTTCGCTTCGATCACATAATTCGACTGACACGACATTGAGCCAGTTCCATGAGAGGGCATCATTGAGCCGCAAGTACTGGATGGTGCACCGTACGGATAACTTTGAACAATTCTTGCACATTCAAATACAAGAAGAATAATTAAACTAACGAACGTTCTCATCTAAAACAACAACGGCGTTTTTTCTCTTTGAACTAAACATAAAATGACTTCTAAAAAATAATATATTTAAGATATTTTTCTGAAAAAGAAGAAAGCATTAGCTTTAAAAAAAGACGCAGGTGTAAAAAGACATCAGCCAATTTTCCCATAGGCTTGATAGCAGAAAAACTAGCGTCTAGGAGACGCATTCATTCAAAAGCTAATATTATTCTCTTCCTTCCACAAAAACACTTTTTTTCCTTTTGTCATCTAATTATATTTCTTACGACTGTCTCTTTACCATGGCTACGCCCTATTTTCTAATGACTCTGAAGATAAATGCATACTTTAATGAATATAAGCCTTCACTTCTTTGTATAAACTATAGCATCAAAGAAGTAAGAAAGAAACAAAAAATACAAAAATTAGTCCTCCTCCCCAGCAAAGTATTGCCAACATTGACATCACTCTGTAACTGGTACCTATCAAGAATAGAGAAAACTAATGTCCTATTTCAAGCATCAGCAACATAAATTAATTTAGCATGAGACTCCAGTTACCACTGAATCGAACTGCAGAACTCCACTTGTTCATTTATGAACAGGCTTGAAAAAAAGTCGACTAAGATCAATTCTCTTACTTGATAAATAACTGTACAATCAGCAACAAACGATTGCAGTTCTTCAAACTAAATCAAGCTTATGCAATGTCTTGATAGACGCATTCGAAATTTTGCTGTGTAAAATGCCAAAATATTTACTCCTGCTCGCTTTTTTTTCCTCTATATCGATCCATATTGATATGCTGTCTGTTGTTGTGTCTCTATTTATCGTTCCAGTTCGATGAATAGAAATACAATTTTAAAGTAGAATAAATTGAATCTTTGAGACTATGCCAACTTTCGTACGAAACAATCTGCGTTATGTATGATTATTAACACAAAAAGATCAACCATAAGGTTTTTAGAATTTGATTTGCATTCGAAACTAATTTAAAAAAAAGGTTTATTTCAACGCTCCATGATCGTCAAGTGAGTCATAAGAAGAAACGAAAAAAACCTTTTCTTCGTGGTAAATCGTTTTAAATCGATCCGTTTTACATGATGTCCACACTAGTTAAACCACATGAGAACATCAATGATATGAAAATAGTGTGCTGACATACAATGCTGGTGCTTTTTTGTTGCCTAAAATGACAAATTCAGAGAGTCATTTCTAGTGAAAACTCTGTCGAATGGTCTCTATTTGAAAATCACATCTCATACATCGAGCCAGGGTATATAACTCAGAAACGATGTTCAACTAATCTGACATCAATATGAAAATTATTTTATGTTTTTATCAAAATTATTCTCCTTACTATCAGAAAACGATTAATAATATGCTGCAACTAGCTTTCAATGCAAAAAACCTCCATGTTAAATTCAAAAAACTATGGAGAGTAACGCATGAAGATAAAAATTTCGTTTGAGATGAGTCGACTCAATGATGAGCAAGATCTCGCGTGACTGTATTTGCATAACAATCATAGTCTGAATAATATGACGGTTACAATCACAATCAGGACTAAACGTGCATTTCGGATGGACGTTATACACCAAGCATATATAGAATCGATATTCAGGTGATATATAGTCATGTTTAGTTTATCTATGGTGAGCAAAACAGTGCAAGTCAAAGCAAGTGCCATAATCGCATGTATGATGCATATAAACAATGAATCAACTGGAGTTAGAATCTGTCGTTGAAGACAATAGAATGAATATGAAGTCGTCCAAACATATAGCAATTGCAAAAATATTTCTGGTCAGTAGCATTAATTCTGAGAAAACGATACTATCCATAATTGATTGACTTGCTTGATCAGTCATATCAACAACAGGTTAATGTAGTCATTACAAGATCATTCTAAAATGATAACGAGATAATAACGACTTATTCCTCTTGGAAACGTCAACTTTTTTTCATTTTTTCTTCAGCTCCTATTCAAAAAACTTGAGAATGAGAAAATTCCTTCTTCTTGCTTCAAGCAAAATCTGCTTGTGGATGCAGTCTAATTTCTTCTGTATATCAAGAATGTCACGTCTTTGGTTATTCATGTTGCAACGGAATCCATCGTCACACAAATAATCTCTTCGCTGTCACATTCTGCTGCTTATCAGCATAGTGTATCTCTCTCTGTCTCTTTTCACCTGTCACTTGCATCGCACTGATGGTTTGTTATTCTCTCTTCGCAGTCAGCAGTCGTATATATGTTTACACATTATTTGATCACTCAATAGGTTTCATGGGGCTTACTGTTTTTTTATATCCATCATGTACAAAAGTTGTAACATGGTGTTTTACATGTAGTTTCTCGAACCACACTTATTGTTTCACAATTAAGTTGTGTTCTTAGAAATAAAACAGGGATCAAAGTGGAGTTCAAACGATGATGATTCACCGCCTTTTCTGTTAAATCGAAGCTATATTTACTTCAACAAGCTGAATACTGCTTCTTACGCTTTTAAAATTTTTTCTTTTACTTATATTTCAGAACTTTTTTCTCGTCAAGTCATGGAATTCCATCGACCGATAGAAAGAAAATGTTGTTTTTTTTAATATTTTTTCTCACTTTGATGACGCTACTTTCAAACATTTAGTTGTGTAGCGAAACGTCATCGTTTATCTTGAAGAAAAATAAGTTATTACCAGCGTGCTTTTTCTTCTTCTAAAGCATTGCGTTCTATGGCATGTGTCAAAAATATTAACCCAGTGTTCAAATTTTGAAGAGTTCATATAGCTTTCCCATCGATGGCTCCTCTTTGTACTTTTGCTTCTTTTGACTTTCATAATTAAACTATTTCAATATCCGTGCTCTTATTCGACATGCAATTTTGAAAGAAGGCTACTATATGTGGAGAAAATGACTATATTTGTACAATCTTTTTTCATATTATACGAGATTTTGTTGAATCTTAAAATTTAGGACAAATATATTAAGCTTGATGATAAAGCCAATCACTAATATTCTAGAACAAAGCACACTGCTCTCTCGCTAGAACAGTGGCATGATTAATTTCTTTCCTATAACTTTACTTTTAAGTCAGTCGTTAGTATTGAAGATCGCCAGTTCAAAATCATTCTTGCAATAGAATAGTTATAGATGGATCAGACACAAAACTTATTTCAAGAGGAGTCACATGACTCGACCATATATCAGCCAGGCTCAATAAAAAGTCGACAGTAGTGAATTTGTGTAAAAGTTTTTATTTGTTGAGTCGACAAGAATACACTTTTTTTTCAAATTTTGTTCATGTTTGATTGTCATATTATTATTCGTTGATGCATAAAAGATTTCATGAAAATACTTAAGAATAAAGGTATTTCAAAATTCCGATTGTAAAATGACTTTTGATACTATTACCAGAGAGAAGAAAATATTGCTGCTATTATTCATTTCATTAGCTTTAATGGGATCATGTTTGTAAGCGAATTTAAGAATGGTGATGAAGCAAATGAAGCCATATTCAATAGAACTAATATCAAGGATCTAGGATATGTCAGATCATGAAAATGATCACCATTATCGTACTTGTTATTTATTTTGTGGTCTACACGTACAAACGACGATATTTAGTGAAATGTTCCGATTGTTTCTTTGATATTCCATATCACGAAAATGGCTTCGAATAAGAATGACAGTATTAGTGCATCAATAATAGATCTAGACTGTAATTCAACATGGATTCCAAGCTACATGCTTTGATTATTGCAATGTATGCAACTGCAAAACAAATTATTATATTTAGAGAAAGTGTGCTTTTTAAAGATTTCTTTCTTCTTATTCTTTTTTTCTTAATATTCTTAGATTTTATTGATTCATTTCTTGCAAAGTGTCAGAGAAATTTGCTAACCTCACTTCAATAATGTTTATTCATTATCTTTGCTTCGATGTGGGAAGAACACATGTTCTCTATTGGTTAAGAAAAATGTTAGTCTAACTTTTGTTTTTTGCTTTTACTCATTTCTTCATCTATATCTTTCTGTGGTCAGAATTATGCATGGTATAATAACCAGAATACTTCGTAGCTTTGCTATCATTCACAGCAGCTTCTATGTACGTATTTTTCCGTTAAATATACGACGATTTAAATTACATGTGAAATAAAAAGAGTTGAACGACATAGTAATAATCGGAGATATTTTAAAGAACTAAATCTCAATATCTAACATTCAATTAGGCAATAAACTTTCAGTTCACATGAAAATACTTCAGCTATTTTAGTTATTATAATTGCTATTACATAAATAGAATTCGTAATTCATCTCTGTTCTATACGTGTTTCGATTCGAGATCCTGATATGTGAGTTGACATTCGTGAAAAATAACATATATCTGTTGTTAGCGAAGGAAAAGCAGTTCAATATGATACACAAGAAACAAGTATTAGTTGATTCTATTTCTGAAATATCCCAATTTCATCGAAAAATTTTGCTGATTTAAGAACTGATCAGTTTTTTACTTTACATATTGAAAATCAAATTAATTGAATCAAGTTGATGACATAATCACTAATGAAACCAGTTTTAATCACATCACACTTAAAAGAGTTTTCACTCCGAGCATTCATAATCATCAGGTAGAAACGAATGCAATGCTCCAACAAGAATTATATTCGTTTGTCGGATTGCTTAGAAATGAGAAAATGGATATAAGTTGGTATCGATTTATAATTAATATGGTAAAGATATCTATTAAAATCGTTTGTTCCTAATTTTACAAGATAAAAATTTGAACCTAATGTAATTTTTTTTATTATAACGTTAAGAACATGTTCAAGAAATAACTTGACATGAGAAAAGTACTTTCTTCCATGTTTGAGGATAGACTGACTTGTTATCAATCTTCTGTAGTTTAAAAAACGCTGCAGATAATTTTATACCAATGACCATTTATGGATTACGAAAGACGAATATGAGTGAAATTGTGTCTATGGAGTCTAAAAATACATACGAAAATCCAAAAATAGAAGATAAATTTACTATATTTTGCCAGTAAATTATTATTAAACAAGATGATTCAAAATCAATCCAGCATTTTTCAACTCTAACTTAGTTTCGAATACTTTATGAAATTTAGATTTTGCCAGGATCAATAAAGAAGTTCTCAATTTGTTCACGAAAATTGAATATTCATAGTTCTACTATTAATGAACGGTACGTATCAATGAGTCGTTCATAGCTCAGAACATTGGTAATGGATTAGCTTGCACCATGTCAGTTAGTCATTGTTTTTCGTGAGGACTACGGTTTTTTTTCTCTTGTCTGTTCTCTACAACCAATTATTACAAAAATAATTTTAATCGGTAACATACAAGACACAGATCTTTTTTTCTTACATTTTTTTTTCGGATCGGTCAAGCATTGATTCACACTTTTCATTACAAAATAGATCACACGACCTGTATGGCATACTTCAACTTTGGATCGAATCCAACGATTTCTAATTTCCGTCCATTGAACAAAAAACCTATCCGAAATCATTGGGATGTTAAATCGGAAGATATACTTTCATGCAGTGATTATAGATCATCTAGTACTTATTTGTAAGTGCTCTAAATAAAATATGAAATCCCGATAAAGAAAAGTACTACGAAGAAACATAGAAAGAAAAAAGTCTTCGAATGAAGTATTAATAGCAGAGAGCCGAAAAAATTGTCATCTATCTACTTTCGATCACGATTGACTCCGACAACTTTTTAAGTCGATCGATATTTAATTTCTGAGTGACCGTATTTTGACTTCAACGAAAATGTTGAAGTTTTTCATTATTCATATATATGAAGTCGAGTGTGAGATAAATCTACAAGGAAGAATTGCAAAATATAGTAGAATATAATGTTCTGCCATTCGATCACTATTTAAAGTCGAATCGATTCACATTCAACTCCATAGAAAGTGATATTCATCACAAAGTTGAAGTAACGGAACAAAGACTCAAGGTGGCATCATTAGTTTTGAATAGTCATAATACTCATTTTTTTCGAAAACAAATCATGCAACAGTCGTGTCATTCGAGCATTTTATGAATACAGTTGCATAGTTTCTGTATGTAATAAGAGGAACTCTAGAACTATTGTATTTTTAGAGACGTCTTTTTCCATCCGCTTTAACTAATTACGATTCACTTCTTGAAGCTGAACCAGATATAGTTGCTCTGATCGAATTAACACCTACGGATGAGATCTTCACGGATAAATTTGGATGTGCATTATCGGAAACGATTCGTAACAGAAATGATATTATATTTACAGTTAATTCAATGGAAAATATGCTTTTTACTACAAGAAATGGCAATGATAGTGATGGTTTTCCGACGGATGAAACCAAAACAGAAGAGATCGTCGAGTATATCAATTCAGCAAACGAAACTGCAGCTGGTTGTGACTCTATCAAAGACATATGAAAATTTCAAGGACCCAAAGCAAAGAAAGAGAAAGCATTCAAAATTGCAAAAAAGTACTACGACGGATTTGGTGTTCATATAACTTGGGAAATCGATTCAAATTAAACAGAGTTCAACATATCATATCATTAATTAAATTCTAGTAAAAAGACATTGCTTTAAGACTCATATTAACGATATTTTTGTCATGTAATTCGTGATCTCAATACTTTTAATTTTCGAGTTTTTCAAATAAAAGAAAAGATGCCATATGTTCATTTGAATAATCTTGCCATGATCACACGATTGAAACACTATCGTATATCCTTGAATACGACCCAGTACTGAGAGTCGTTCTTTCGTCAAAAACAATCATTATAGTGTGTCTTCAGTTCACCCAACCACTCTATATTTACATCCAAACCTTCGATAGTTCATATTGACATGCTTCATTTGTTTTGGTGAATAAAGAAAAACACTTCGAAAATTCCTTTGTTGAAATGTAATAATGTTTGCCAAGTTTATCAATACTTTTTTGTGAGAAAAATAGTATGCGATTGCTGTTCTTTGTTTTCAACAATTGACTGGAGTCGAAAAACTAGAGAATATTTTCTTGTTCGAGTTTATTATCAATGATTTGTTTCTATTGATTTCCAGTGTGGGATGCTGGTATGAATGCAGTTCCTCTCTTTATCCATACCCACATCCTTCACTTCCAATTTATCAAGCCACAAAAATGTTGATTCCGAATCTTGATTTCAAACTTGTTAAATTGTTACTTTTAACATTATTTGTTTACCACTGTTTTTATGACTAGTTTGGACAAATTTAATACAAAACTTAGTTGCAGGAGGTTCGTTTTATATGACGTCCGAGAGAAAAACAGATTTGGTATAGGATTTGTTGCCTTGTAGATTCTTCAATAGCGTTTGAATGATGGTTGACAATGAGGATTTGAAATAGCTCTCAATTGTCGTCGTTTGAAAAACTAAACTTTCTCTATGAATAATAACTTTTTTTTACTACAAATGAATTCAAAATTTACAATCAGCATCAAATTCTGCATCTTTTTATGTTTAATTCGATAAAATGTGATCAGAACATTTATTAATGCAAGACAGGTTCTGATAGAGTTTATAAAATCAAAAGTGAAAAAGAAAAGTTGGCTACTAGTAGAAAACGACGTTTGATTCTTTTTGAATTATGTAATAGATTTCGAATATGTGTATAGTTTGTTAAAAAAACCTATATTGTGGATGATAAATGTCATTAATGGAACTGTCTTTCTGTCAATGTAATTCTTTGTTTCATTATCCGACTTAAAATCTGTTTTCAACAATTTCTGGTATTCAAAATAAAACAAAATTAGCATTTTCTTCTAAAGACATTCATTTGATTGGTTAAAATTTAGTTTCAGCATCTTCTAATACTGAGTCAATGTCGAGATAGCGTTACTGTGAATATACTTGGTGGCATAACAACTAATTACTTCTTTATCTTGTCTTTTGTTCATCAATTTTGACTATGGATTGGATCAAGCGAATCAAGAATAATAATACACTCATCCAGCGTATGACTCTTGTTCCTAATACCCAAATAAATCCAAGATTGATCGATTCAATCTATAGATAAGAAAACTGTCTGTAAATTGTGGTTTTATATAGTCAATGCTGAATATATGTTTTGATTAATGAACCAAGCTGAAATTTATTTGAAAAATGAAGCTACATAAGAGAAGTCTTAGTATTTTGGTTAATATAATCCTATCATTTGATTAGAAGAAATTCTACTTATTTTTCGAGAAAATGAAAAAGTTGATATAATTGTTCAATAATCTAAAACTCAAATCAAACCTTTGATGAAAAATCTTCTCGAGTGAAATGATTGAATTATAATTCAAGGAAAATATCTTCTTCAATTAACTTTTTTCTATGAATATCAATTTGAGAATAAGTTTCATAACAATAACATAAACTTTGAATGCTATTTTAAATTTTAGTTTAATTAAATGTGTACTAGTTAATATTGAATTTGCTTCTTATTTATTAATTCAAATATTCACAAAGAACTTGTCTTTTGTGTGAATCATCTAATATATGTCATGACAATGACAAGTTATCTGCCGCAATGTCGATTTTGTTGTTTAAATATTTTCAATAATTAATAATAACAATTGTATTAAACCAATATTTAAAATGAAGTTCATAGCTACTATTATTATTATAAAACTTATAATATCTTTACGAGGTGTGTGTGTATGTGAAGGGTAGATTCATAACCACATCACTAGAGATCTGCGGAGGACTCCGAAACCCGCTTCCGACTCCGACGGAGTCGGGTTTGCTGAAAAAAAATTTTCGGGTTCGGAGTCGGAGTCAGTTACAAGTTCGACTCCGATATTTTTTTTTTCGATTTACCAAAACTTAATTTTTAACATTAGTAANATCTCTTTGCAAAGTTCTAAATCGAAATTCGAAAATTAGGTTTTCTGATGTTTCTGAGGGGGACCACAGCTTTCATTTTTTAAGAATACCGTAAAAATGCAATATCTCGGCACCAATAAGCTAGCAGCACGAACTTTTTTCAGGGTGTTCATAGATCACTAGGACCTACATGATGCTCATACTCTCGACTCAAAAGCGATGGGACACTTGGGAATGTTCCCTCGTTAAAAGTATTCGAGTTGATGATCTACTAGTAAAAAGTTATGGAAATTTAAATGAAATTTTTTCTAAGAGCAAGACATATTTGAAAAATTCATAAAGAAAAACTTTCAAATATTTTGGTGTCTATTGAGACTTGACTAAGCTATTAAATTTTGATCTAAAATTTTGCGCATATAGAAAACTTAGCTATGTTTTAATGGAAGCTATTTTTGATGAGGTCTCTATATCGAAAAAGTTTCAGATCCGAATTCGATAGTTTAGTCAACTTTCAATAGAAATCCAAATCCATTTACAGTTTTTATTAGAACATTATGCAGTACCTATAGACAAAAAAATCATTGATATCAGAATGGAACATTTGAGGAGATTCTCTTATAAAATCCAAAAATAAAGCATTTTTAGATTAGTGCTAAAGTCTTAACATTCAATATGTTTGAGTATAAAATGACTTCTTGGATAGGTAGTAATAATTTGTGGTTTTCAGAACACTTATTTCAATTATTTTTAAGGCATTTGTCTTTTTTTTTTTCTCTCTAGTTTTTAAAACAACCTCCATATCGTCTTTATTCAAGTCAAATTATTTCATCATCTCTTAAGTCAAATCCGTCAAATATAATCTATAGTTCTCAAAAAGTAGCTGATATTTTACAAAAACCATCTGATTGTTTACAAGTATTTGATGATTATTTAACTGATAATGAATATAATAATTTTTTAAAAGAAATTGATGGATATATGAAACGTAAACGTTATGAATATTCACATTGGGATAACGTATGTAGGTCTTAGAAGATTTTGTTTTCTAATAGAAAATAATCATTTTCATAGGCTATTCATGGTTATCGTGAATCTGAAAGATCTGAATGGACACAAGAAAATCAACAAGTTTTATCTCGTATTCGTCAACTTGCTTTTGATGATCCAACACAAACACTTATGCATGTTCATGTACTTGATATAGCTAAAGATGGATATATTAAACCACATATTGATGCTATTCGAGTATGTTAATCTCTTATTTACAAAAATCTACTAACTATTAATTTTTTTCTAGTATTGTGGAACAACTATTGCTGGTTTATCATTACTTTCGTCATGTGTAATGAGATTTGTTCATAAAGATGATAAAACACTTTTTGTTGATGTGCTTCTCAAACCAAAATCGCTTTATATTATGAAGTAATTAACTTAAAAACATATAATAGTTACATATTTTAATAGTAGTAAAATTCATTTTTGAAACAGACTTAGGCATCCTATAAGATACTCGTTCGAGAAGTTTTTGATCCATTAATATGAAACTTATGAATTAGAAATAGCCTACGAGAACATCAGTCCATGTTGCGAGTTGAATGAAATACAAAAGTGTTACTAAAACCTCTAGACAAGATGCTCATTTGTTTTTTAGCAAAATTATATTTTCGAATTTTGTCCTTGATTAAATAATGCAAGTCGTAGGTTTGTTCGCACTACCACCGACGTACCTACACAGTAGGAATTGTTGGTCAGAGAACAACTATTAGTACACTGTGGTAGAATGATCGTTAGAGGATTCCTCACAGTTTGTATCACATTATATTGAACAGTCTATTAGAATTCTACGAGACAAACGTTTTTATATTCCAAATCTCATTGAGTAGAAGACAGCTGAGTGTACATCTGAAATCCGTTTTTTTTAAAATTCGATTCCATTCAGCGGCTATAAAAAATACAGAAAACGATAACTAACAGCTGAGAGTTTTCTTAAACGTCTATATATATGAGTCAATCTGAAAAAGACCATAGATAGTACATTAGAACATGAATATTTTGAAAGATGAAACTTTTATATCTCAGATAAATCCCAGAATTAATTTATATTCTCTTTCATTTTTCTGACTCACAACTTTCTTATTAACAATCATAATTCAATCGATAATTGCATATTATTTCTCTATTTTAGAAATATCGTTCGATTTGACTTTACACATGAAGTTCCCAAAGATCAAGAATCTTATTTTAATAATATCCATATACCACGAAATCGTCGTATATCAATTATTTGTCGAAATATGCCAGTTGATCCATCTGCGGGCTAATTTTATTATTTCTTTCTTTTTCTCGAACAAGAGTTTTTTTTCTTTTCCTCTATTTTTTTTTGTTTTCAGATATGAATTCTGATACAGCTCGTCAATTATTTGAATCCGGTGGTATATTACTCGTACTTGATTCACCAAAAGATATGGAATTTGGTATTGATATGTATTCATGGCAAATTGGATCAAATTTTCATGGAATTAAAATGATTCCACCTGGTATACATATTTGTTATTATAGTGAACGTGATTTATTAACAAAAGAATTATCGAATCGACAGAGTTTTTTTATTGAAATTAAACAACCTAATGAAATGTTAATTTTAATTCGATGGTCATCAGAAGAAAATCTTTTTCAACGTCAACAATTAACATCTGATGAATATGAAATACGTCGAAATCAACGTTATGAATTTGATCGTTTACTTGGTCAATATCCATTAGATACATATCGTCAATGGTTATCATTATCAAATCATTTACGTTATGATTTTATAGAAAAAATTATTCCATTAAATGGTCATATATGTTCAGCAAATGTATTTAATAGTTGTGAATATAAAAAACAACCAATTGAAGAATATTCTATGCCAAAAAATATATCTGAAGCTGAATCTCGTTTACCTAAAATGACATTAAATTCTCAATTTGCTTTTCGTTTTACAATAATTGAAAAAAATCTAAATCTCTATTCTGGTTCAGATTTAACACAATCAAAATTAGATCGTACAAATGAATTAGAAAAAATTCTTAACGATCGTTTTGATTCAAATATATATGGAATTTTATGTGAATTACAATTATGTTTTATCGTATTTTTTCTTGGACATTTCTATGATGGTTTTGAACAATGGAAATGTTTATTTCAATTAATTTGTTCATGTCAAAAAGCATTTTATCGTTGGCCTATGTTTTATGTTGATTTTTTACAAATGATTTATTTTCAATTAAAACATTTTACAAATGATTCAATAACTGGTGAACATTTCTTTGTTGATATTGATCAACAAGAAAATTCTATTTATAAATCATTAGAAAATTTATTTGCTAATATATCAACATTTAATGATAATCAACAAATGGAAGGAAATGATTTAGAAAAATTAATTGAACGTTGTGGAAAAATGAAACAATTTCTAAATGAAACATATAAATGGACATTTGATGATGAACCAGAAGATGAAAAACCGATTATTGTTGAACTTGATAATGAATAAAGATTTATATTTTTTTTTTGTTTTTAGATAATGTTAACATTTATTATTGGATTTATTCTTGTGTGTATGTGATTTGTTTATACTTTTCTTGTTTTGGGATGTTGATTATGATATTTTGTTCTTTCGTCTTTTGCAGTAATTCTTCTATATGTTTCAAAAAAATTCTATTGGTCAGGAACTCAATGTCCATCAAAAGATCGTATGGATGATAAGATCGTTGTTATAACTGGAAGTAATACAGGCATTGGAAAATATACAGCTATTGAATTAGCTAAACGAGGTTGTTAATGTATTATTATTTCTTGAAATAAAATTTCGTTTATCTTTTTTTTTGCTTGGTTTGTTTAATTCAGGTGCACATATTATTTTAGCTTGTCGTAATCGACAACGAGCTCAAGAAGCAAAACAAGAAATACAAACGAAATCTAATAATAATCAAATTGATATTGAAATTATTGATACATCCTCATTACAATCTGTGCGTGAATGTGCTACACGTTTACGAAAACGTTTACCTAGAATTGATGTTTTAATTAATAATGCTGGTAGATTATTTATTGGTATTTTTTATTGATTATCGAATGTTTAGGTGTTCTTACAAGATCAAAGGAAAAATCAATTGATGGTTATGAAATACATTTTGCAACTAATTATCTTGGTCATTTTCTTCTAACTAATCTTCTGCTTGATTTATTGAAAAAAGCACCATCAGCTCGAATTATAAATGTTGCAGCTTTAGCACATAAATGTAAATATTATTTTTTTTTCATAGATTTCAATATTAATTTGAATGTTTTTTTCAGTTATGAATTGTCATATGCATTGGAATGATATTAATTTGGAAAAAACATCTTATGTAGCATTCTATGCATATGCACGTAGTAAACTTGCTAATATTATGTTTACAAATGAATTAGCTAAGCGATTAAAAGGTAATAAACATTTTTTATTAATAGAAAAAAAAACACGACATGGAAGTTTAATTGTTTTTTTTTTTATTATAGGAACAAATATTACGACTAATAGTCTTCATCCAGGTGTGCATTTATTTTCTATATATAAGCAAAATTATTTGTTAGCGATGTGCGGAGTGCAAAAAAAAAAATACTCTAATGACCTAATGAAAATTTAGAATTTTTTCCTCATATGATTAAACAGATATTCACTAATTACTTTTTAGTTAATAGTTAAATATAGAAAAAAAAATGAATTAGATTTTTGGTTTTTTTCTTATGATGTCCTTCAAGATCAATTATTTGTATTAAATCATATTCTTGATCAATGTGATTATAATCGATATATAATGACAGTAGACGAGAACTTGTGATTAAATCATTATCCATAAGAAATGTTTTATGTTTATTCAGTTATGAAAAGAAAAGAATGTAAATGCTAAAATAACATAATTTGATCATAACAGACATTATAACTAGAAAATAAATTATTAGAGGAAAGGTCTTCTAATATGTCGAAGGCTTTACATTATTATAACAAATAAAATAATCTTATGAATTGATTTTCTAATTTAGGTGTTGTACATACAGAACTTGTTCGTTCTATTGGTGGTCGTTATGAAAATATTTTTAATATAATTGAAAAATTGATAACACCTATTCTATGGTTTTTTCTCAAAAGTTCTGAAGAAGGTGCACAAACAACGATCTATTTAGCAAGTGATATTCATCTTGATAATGTTACTGGAAAATATTTTAGGTTGTTATTTTTGTTTCGTATACATTTTTCAAAATTATATTTCAGTTTTATATATAGTGATTGTATTGAAGTTCAACCATCAGAAACAACACTTAATAAAGAAGATAATCAATATTTATGGTTACTTAGTGAACAAATGACAAAACTTGATGATTCTTTAAAAAATATATTTTTATAGTTATATAAATGTAAAATTTCTTTTTTTTAGATAAATTTCATCATGATTTTTCTTTCTATTATATTATGTCTTTCTTTATTTCCAAATATTATATATACAGCTATACCATTTATTCTAAATCCTGATTGTGATCTACTTGAATGTGAACATTCTAATTATTCAGCATTATATTATGCAAATCATGTTGTTGATGAAGATAAAATTCATATAATTTATTCAACATTTGATGAATTAACAATTACTATTTTTAAAACCGGTAAAAGTTATTCTCCGATATTTAATTACACTGCATTATTTTCACGGAATTATACTGGTGCTATTCAATTTATCGATACAACGCCAACTAATTCATTTTCATTAGTTCTTCGACGTTTAATGGAATTTGATGATGAACCTAAAATGGCTGATTTGACTAAATGTGAAAATACAACAATATCTTATTTTTTGCATAATATAACAGCCACTAACATGACCATTCTTAATAATAATACAAATCAGCCAACATTTCAATTACCATTACCAATGGTTAAAAACTTTTAGTTTCATATAAAAAATAAAATAAAAACGAAATCATTATCTTTTTTTTTAGTTAAACGGTTCATTAAGTATTGACATAATGTATCCTGGTGAAATAATGCGTGACTCAAAATCTCCAAAATTAAGAGCAACATCAAAAAGTTATTTTCTTAATATTGCGTTACAAGCCAATAATTTTTCATCACCAAATACACGTTTTGCTTTTGAATTATATTTAATCGCACCTGGTCCTCATGGTTTACGAGCATCGTCATCAAGATATATTGATGATCATTTTACACCAGGTAGAAATTAAATTGACAAACAAAATTTCATTTCCTATTATTTAACTAATATTAGCGTAAAATCGATCTTTCCAGTTGAACAAACTTTTCACCAAAAATTTCTTTTGATCTGCCTAGACAATAATAACTTTCTTTGTTTCAAATTATTTTTTTTTTACAGCAATGAGATATCTCAGTTGCCACTATCGTCGCCGAAAATAGTTGCTAAAAAAACCTATCTAACGAAATTCCCCTTAAAATTCTGCATTTTTGGATGCATGTTTCAGAATTTTAGAAGAAATACTTGGGAACTATTCTGTGATACGCATTCGATGTCTGAAACTAGTTTTTGAAACTATAGTTCTTCGCTATCATTTTATCTCTTTTTCATTTCAAAAAATTCTTGGAAATAAGAAAGTTTTTTTTTTAAATTCGTCAAAAAATATCAGCCATCGTCGCTGATTGATGCATCGGGCTTCCACCTCTAAATACATATCAACATAGATAACTCGATTAAGTGGATTTTTTTAAAGGGTTTATATTCAGAATTAGCATGGTCAATTGCTTATAATCTAGTAGATTTTAGTAAGAAAGCTATTGATCAGTAGAAAATATACGCTTCTAACCTCTTATTCCTTGATATGATCGATAGGTACTTCTTGTTTATAGAGTACAGAACGTCATATTTGAGATGAGTACTTATAATTTAAGAAGATTTTTCAACTCAATAGAAAACGCTTAATTCTATAAAAGACATACTTCAATTTGTCAATATTTATTATTTAAATCTAATAATAAATTGAATCGAATGACAAAATATTGTCCTCTCATTTCTGTTTTGTAGCTTGGCTATATTATCATTAGATTTTTATAGAAAAAGTTAATTTCCATTGTCGTTTCTCAAAGCAAGAAATAAATGATATTAATTTAATCAGGTTTGATACTATTACAGAATAAAGAAAATTACTGCTTCAACTAGAGAGCTGCGGGTCCATGTTTTTTTAGACCCGAACCCGGACTCAGACCCGGGAAAAGCTAAATTTTCAGACCCGGACCCGGTCAAGTCTCGACCCGGACCCGGCCGGGTCCAGACCCAATCCTTTTTTCACCAATATTTGGCACCCTCTGTGTACATGAACAGAAAAGGGAACACAATTTTAGCTCTTCATTGGCCATTTTAAAGATAAAATGAGTGTAGAATTATTTCTGANCCGGACCCGGCCGGGTCCAGACCCAATCCTTTTTTCACCAATATTTGGCACCCTCTGTGTACATGAACAGAAAAGGGAACACAATTTTAGCTCTTCATTGGCCATTTTAAAGATAAAATGAGTGTAGAATTATTTCTGACTGTTTCTCTTTCAATTTTGTTGACTTCAATTGTTATTGATATATATATTTTTATTCGTAACTTAATGCAGATCGGGTCTGAATTTCCTCTTAGGTATAGACCCGGACCCGGGAAAACCTAAATTTTCAGACCCGGACCCGGACCCGGTCGGGCCCGGGTCCTGGTCCGGATCTGGAAGGACCCGCAGCTCTCTAGCTTCAACTAACGTTAAATACCTACTAAAATAACTTTTTATGATCAAAAAACACTATTCACTAGGTATTAGTAAAATACACTCGAGCCTATCGGAAAAAATATTCTACTTTTTGTTATTAACAATTTTTAAAAAAAGTATTGATATAAATCTTATGAATGAAGATTTTGAAGGTCTTTCGATTGATAATATCTTCGAATTAAACGATGGTTGAAGTGTATCTTCCTGTTATCATGATCTACAATCAATCACATAATTATCACGTCATGTAACAACTTTATCTCGATTGATTGAACTCTTTTACATATGAATTTAAAATGCTGAATACTTGATTTTATCTTAATCTTTGAGATCAATTAGTCTAATATAATGAGTGACACATAAAGAATTATACTATTAATATTTTCGAAAATTTCTCTTCTAGTATTCCTTTAATAAAAACACTTTTTCTTTTTATCAAAAAATACAGCTTAAAATTCTGCACGAAATGGTGATATACTTTATTTAACGAATATAATTCTCTTCATTGTTTGAATTAAACGTAATCGTACATCCAACTGAAGTACAAAATTGTAATTTTTTTATTTTTCAATCTATCAATTAATTACAATGCTAACAGTGACCAGAAGATGTGCGGTAAACAGGGCCGAAGTAGACAAGAAAGATCAACTCAAACAGAAATCGAGGAAGTTCTATACATTAAATAAAGTATATCAATTTGTATAGAATTTCAAGTACTATCAATAGGATAATAGAAGAGAAATTTCGAAAATATTAATAATATAATTCTATATGTATCATCCGTTAGATTTATTACAATCCTTCTAATAATATGAGCTCTAAGCTATTGCATACTTCTATTTAATCTATAAATTTTAAATAATAGAAAACTTTCTATCATAGATCACAATTGATAAAAGAAAAAAGATTCGAACTTATATTTCTAATAAAAAAATAATTTTCTATAGGTATTTTTAATGTTTTTCAAACGAAAACAATTGATACAATCTATCCAGCTTCTTTGTTATGGAAACCGGTTGTATATCAAAGTGAAGATAGAACAGTTGAACAAAATACATTAATGCATATATATGATCTAAAAAATAATGTTACAATTGATCGAAATATTGATCAAGGTATATTTTATTCATTTCTTGCTTATCCAAGTGTATCAGCATTTAATATTTCACTTGGTGAAGTAAATGATGGTATGAATAATTAATAATATGACCTAAATAATATTATTTATTTGAATATAATAGGTTTTTTTGCTAAAACAAATTATACATTTATTCAATTTACAGCTGGTATTGAATATCTTGAGACTGATTCAACAAAAGTTTTTGTTACAGTTGCATTGATTGCTAGTCTTGCTTTACCAGGTTTAGTTGCAATTATTGCATTAATATTTATTTTAAAACGACGATTTACACGACAATCGTCAAGTAGTTATGATGCTATTGATGATTAAACAAACATAAATGATGATGTTGTTGTGTTTATTTTTCCATCATTTCTTATTGTGCAATGATAATATTTAAACAATTGTGATTTTTTTTTTGTGAGGTTTTTCATTATTTTTAATATTAAATAAAAATTTGTCATTAATTAGTTTGATTTATATGATCAAAAAAAGAAAAACATTTAAATATTTTCTACAAATGTTTGTAATGAATATACTTATAATTTTTTTAATAGAAGATTGAATAAAAAAAAACAAAAGATTTTTCAATTATGTTTTTGTAATAACTCGATTTTCATCTAAGTTATTCTATGGAATCAACTGAAAATATAATTACAACAAAATAATGAGTTTTCAGAAGAAGAAAAAGTTTTTTTTTATTTAACAAACGAATGTGTACCCATTGATTTATAATATTTAATTCACAATTTTATGATAAATCCATGAAAAAATACAATTCTAGAATTAGTAATTATCATATTACAAGTATTTTTCTAAATATGAATTTCATATAAAATAAGAATATATTGAATACAGTTAAGATTATCATAATGAAGTCTAAAGTAGGATATAATAGAACATGGATATGAGAATGTCAGTTTATTAATTACTAATGACAATGATCTTGACATTTGCTGAGGCAAAAAAAAGAAAGAATATTTAAATTATCAGTCAAAATGCAAGATTATCTCGGATTTTCAATATTCTTTTAATAAAACATAGAAGTTCTCATTTTTAGTATATGTGCGTTGGTGATTACAGCTAAACTTAAACAAAGAAAAAATGAAATACTTTTAATAGAATCAAGATGTCATTGTGAACCGATATTCTAGATTTCTATTATAGAAACATACAATAGAATGTGCAAAATTAATCATATATTATAAATTATGCAAACCATTTATTCACTAATCCTACGCATATCTCTAATTTTTTATTCACTTATTTTAATATGGAAACAAAAAAATAAGACCTAGTTATCAATTGTAACTTTATAAATTATAATTCAATTAACGAAACTCTTTTAAAAATAATACTTTCAAGAGCAAAGTTCTCAGGTATGAAAAACTCATTATTTTTTAATCGTTTTCAAATAGTAAGATAATTATTCTAAGAGCAAAAAAAAAAAGGAAATGTGTTCTAAGATAATATTTCCATAGATTTATATATTGCTATTTTTCAAGAGAAAATGTAATTTAAAAGAAAAATTAGTTATTATTTATCTCAACGGAACAGGAAACTTCAATATTTAATCATGTGTCTCTATGAATATATATGCATTTCCTTTCTATTTAAATTATTATTTATTATTTAAAAACTTCTTTTTTTTTTTTTTCTTCTTTCTGAAATTATTTCACAAATAGATATCAATCGATTATGATTATTAAAAATCTTAATAAATCATTAATGTCAATATCAGTATCCATGACTGGTATAGTTAAGTACAAAATAAGATTGTATTTTCCTTAGAGATTATCTATCAATTGAGTTTTTCTATAGGGAAGACTTGCATATTATTCTCATCTTTCTGAGCTTTTAACTTTTTAATTATGATTTATTTTTAATTATGAAAAACAAAGAAAAAAAAAAATATGCACTGCATTCCTTAATATCATGAAACGAAAAAAAAAAATATATGTATTTGAGTTTGTTAAGCAGTAGATATTTTTTATAAAAATGTTCGTTTTAATTGACGAAAAAATATTGCACTTTTACAATAAGTACGTTTTAACGTACGACGAGGACGAATAAATATACGAGTATTATTATTATTCATATGATTATTATTACTATTAGATGATGAAGATTTTTGAATAGGTGTTGATGAATTTGGTTGAATAAATTTTGTTTTAGGTGTTGAAGTTATTTCAATAAATAAATCAAATTGTTCTTGACTTTCAATTGGTAAAAGAAGACTAAACAAATAAGACAAGATAATATTATATTCTCAAGAAGTATCTATACATATAAATATATTACAATAACTTACGTTTTATTACTTTCAACTTCTTCTTGCATATTATATGTAAATGAATCTATATGTATTGTATATGCTTTTTCGATTTTCTATATGAGTAATGTATCGATTGAACAGAAATAAAAAAAAAATAGAAAATGAATGAACACGATTGTTCTTCGTTTTCTTTTGCTCGTTTTTTTTTTTCTCTCTTATGCATAATCATTTGCTCTTCACTCACTCACTTCATTGAAGCATGCCGATAATGTTTCACACTATCCTGCTGAGCCGTTTTAACGAGCTCATTTGTCGTCCATCGGCAGGACGTCACAGATATTTTGATTTTATTCTATATGATGTATATACAAGCCGCTCTCATTAGAAAATCATATATACATAATCCTACGAGCATAACAAAATGCATTAGATTACAATGATTAGTTTCTTTTATTATTATTATTATTTATAATTAAGTAACAAATGTTGTATCACGTGTATATGTTGATAAAGGACGAATACGACATGATACTTGAGGTTTTTGTGTCCATAAATATCGATGAAATAGATCTTGTTTAATTCGATCAAGTTCAGAAGCTTTTCCTGTTGTTTTATTATTATTGTTATGACGTTGTTGAGATTGAGAACGAGAATGTGGAAGATTAAATACATGACGAAAATATTCTGGTCCAAGCATAACAAGATCAGATAGACGATAATCTTTCTGACGATCACGATAAGACATATGTGTTTTGCTTGATGGAATAACATTATAAAGAAATGTAGGTAATGATAATGATGTTATATCATGTTCAAGAATTGGAAATATTGTTTCTTCACGTATAATAGAAGGATGTTCAGAACGTACATCAGATTCAATAACATTTGTTATTGCTTTTATTTCAACATGTGATTGTTGATCAACTGTTTCTTCAGAAATATCATCTTCAAGAGAAAATCTTTGTTGAACAAGTTGATGACGCATACGTACAGCTGTTGTTGCTGCAAGAGCCGTTGCCGGTAATGACATATTGTTTGGTAATGCACTACGTATACCATTTATCTGTGGCAAAGAATTATATTGATTAATGGAATTTCGTCGACGACTTGATCGAGCTGATTGTCGTGCATTAGCACTTTGTTCTTGTAATGAAAGAATAGTATTTCGATTACTACCATGTGGTATTTGTATAGCTTGTCCAATTTTAGGTACATAAACTGAATTTCTTTCACCAGAAAATTCCAAAATACAATCTTCAACACAATCTTCTAATGCGGATTTGAATACTTTAGAACATTTTCCATTAAAAATTAAGACTTTTATTGGTGTTTGATCATTGATTTGTTGATTTGCTGATGTAGGTAAATCATTAACATCAATAATTGATGATTGACGTTTAACAAAACTATTAGATCGTGATGGAGCATTAGTTCTAGGCATATCTGAACTTGCTGAACTTGACGGACGTGTTGTCGAACTTGATTGATTGTCAGATAAAACTGAAAGAAAAAAAACCGAAATTAATGGAATAAATAGTCAACATCTTTTTTTTTTTTCTTTTTGTTTTTTAATATATAGTGACAGGCGCCAATTTTACAATTGATTGATCGGTTAAGAATTTTTTCACAAAGAAATTTTTGATCGATTAAATGATTTAAAAAGTATTATTTACTATATTCAACATGTATAAATTTAATGAATATGTTTAATACAAACCTTCATTTTCGTTGATTTCTTGATCCATCGTATTCGTCTGCCAAATGGCGTATACGCTGTTGATTCTTTTTTCTTTTTGTAATAAAAAAAAATAGTGCGTGAAATCAACAAAGAAAAAGGCTCATATATATATGTTATTGTTATAAGACGTAGGCGACTATCGTTATTTACAAATTGAAGCCAAACTAGTATACTTGTAGCATGTGAAAATAAAAAGAAAGATAGTCTTCTTGTTTTTTTTTTTCTATTTGATTTTGATGAATATATTTGTTTGAAAATTACTGAAATGTATTATTAGGCTTATTTATTTTAAACTTCTAGGTCTTTTTTTCTTTTCAATAAATTGTTGCGTGTATTAATAGAAAAAGTTCAAATCAAGCCGGATTATTTAAGACTCCAATAGTACTTTATCAACATCAGAGGTGACATGTATTGAATGTATAATTGAGTTCGAAGTCACTAACGTAGTTAACTAGAACTACTAAGTATTCATACACTGGAATGATTGATTGAATAATAACTTCATAGTCATCATACTATCTCAATATTCACCTGTCAAAAAATCTCATTTATTTTTTTCTTCTTCAAAGAAGAAAGAACAAAAAAATTTTAAATTCAGACAACAAGTACACAGATTCTTTATTTATATTAAAAGCAAAAAGAAAAAAAAAAAAAAAGGACGAAAAGTCCCACTTTTAAAAACAACAGTGTTTGGTTTTTTTCATTTGTGTGTCATTTAAATTTGAACTTTCATTCCATGATGTTAAATAATGCATTGAAAAAAAGTCATTTTGAATCCAAAATAATTTATTTAGTGCTGTAAACATTGCATATTTATTTTTATCATCAAGATTTTCAGCTGTCCATAAAGCATCTAGAAGTAAATGTTCAAGAAAACCAAATAATGCACTTATATGTATATAATCAATATTAATTGATGATGAACCAGCTTTATTTGTATGCATTTTTCCGATTCGAGATAAATATTGAAGAAATGTTTCATTCCATTCATTTTGTGTTAATATACGTTTTAAATACATACTTAACATATCTTTTCGAAATTTCATTTGTGCCGAATCTAATGTTAAATTCGTACTTTTTTTTGTTAAATGACCTTCAAAACCATCATTACGTACAAGAAAATATTGTTTTGTTATGTCGAATGAAAGTAATTTTCTATAAACAGTGTCAACAATAACTGGCACACGCGGCACAATAATCACTGCAAATTTATTTAGCATTGCTATATCATCCGAAGTAAAATTAAGAAACTTTGATAAATAATCAAAACGACAACGAAGATTGCTGTTAATTTGATTGCTGTCAATGTGTTCAGTCATGCTAACAGAAAGAAAAGTATATTGTGCTTTGAGTTTATATATATATATATATGTTCCCCTTGCTTTCGAGAGTTCTCTCTATGGCGGAAACGATCTTTCTTATTTGCTACTAAACTTAGAGAGAAAAAAAAAGGATAGAAGGCATAATCTTGTTATTGTGTGCCGAAGTCTTTTCTTCATTTTCATCAAAGTCACAAGCTATGTAGTACTCTGAGTTTCCGCATGAGATATGTTGACCTAGTATTCATGCAATGAATTGCGTAGATCTTTTTTTTAAGCAGAAAAAAAAATATATATATCAGAGCTTTTCGTTTAATTAAAGAAAAAAAGAAAGGAAAACCCATTGCGACTATTTTTACTTAAGAATATTAACTGTTTGACTGTTGGGAATTGTCCAAATGACAATTCAATATCTGGAAAGCGGTACGATAAACAAAAAGAAAATTATTAGCAGTAGACATCATTTAATCAGATTACCATATATTTTTTCAAAAAGTCATGTTTAATGAGAGCATTAAATTAATCCAATATCTGGTTCAATTGTTTTGTATTATATTTCAATATAATAAGCATGTTGAGATCAATCAATGCAATCCTTTTTATTTTCATAACAACATATAATGATGTAAGCCACTTGTCATCGGAATACAATAACGAGTTATTTTATGACAATGTTGCTAGTAACAGGATATATGATTAATATAAGTACCAACAACAACAACAAAAAACTGAACCTTGTTTTTAGATCTATTATTCAATGATAATGGAATTGTTTTCTATGAATTTTTATGAAGATTCAATGTACTTTTGGGAATTTTTTTTGGACATCAATGACTTGCAATGTATAGACATAATTAAATATCGAATCATAATGATATATATTCGTTTGACACTGAAAAATGATTTCTCTAGTGGCTATAGGCACTTTTATTTTAGCATTAATGACTATGTTCGTCACAAAAAAAAAAACTTGTTATAGTGAACAGCAAATCAATACGATATCTATACAAAGTAGTTATTAAAACCCGTCTACATTTTAATTATATGAATGTTTCTTTGGATTTTTTTTTTTTTACGAAAGAATATTTTAGCTGTTAGCATTAATATACTAGATAGTGCTTTGAAGTCAGGCCGATGATGAAAGAAAAACGGGTTTTATTAATATATGAAGAATTGAAATAGTTTTTGATGAAAAGTGATTTACATTAGTGTCAATTAAAATAACTATGTGAAAGTTATTCTATAAAAAAACAGACAAATGAATGAATGAAAAGAAGAAAAAAAAAAGAGGTAACCAATTGATTATATAATGCAATGCTTTTTTTTTATGTTGAAGTTACTACTCCAAAGTAACTTCATCGAAAGAATAAAAGACACTAAAAAAAACTTCTCTATATTTAGACAACATGAACTAATGATTTCTTTTGCTCGTAATAGAGGAGTATTCAACGTTATATTCATAAAAGGAATATCGACAAACATTATTTTGAAGTATTATTATTGACTTCAATAATAAAAAAAAAAAACTGTAACCTTTGACGAGTTATGAGAAAAACAATATAATTGTTCCCTGTGGTCAAAAATACAAATATATCTATCATGTTTTTCGATTGATACTTCAGACTATTTTCATTATTGTCTAGAACTTATATCATAGATACATGTCTTATTACGCATAATGTTCTGAATGTTTCAGTCATAACTAATAGGAATTTATTGAGAACATTGCAATATGATTTTATCATACTGCAATGAAAGGTTACAAGCTTCTTCTTGTTGTTTTTTTGTATTGAAGTCACAATGATACTTCAAAATAATGTTTGTCGATGTTTTTCTTATGAACATGACCCATTAATGTTCTTTGATTACTAGCAAAAAGATCAGCTCGTTTAGTTAAAATACAGCGGAAATTTTCAGTTTCATTTTTCCTTCGGGAAAGTGACGCTTGGATGATCCTGTATGTTGTATGACATACGCCAAAGAATATTATGCAAATAAAATATGAACAGAGCTTCATTGATTTTAATAATTAATTTTATTATATATATCTGTATGAAAATCTTCCTGCTATCAATCACAATAAATATTTTAAATTTCTTATCAATTGAAAAATATTTATCAAATAAAAGTTTCATGTAGATTTATCATTTAAATATGTAATCTATTTGAAGAAAATTTCATATCTTGATTACTAGGAATTATTATGAACAAAAATCCGATTTCCAATTTTATCAGTTTTGATTTGCCAATGAATTTATCATGCGACGCTTAATATTCATTCAAATGATCAATATAGATCAAACCAAATCTTTAAAATCGATTCTAGTTGACAATACATTAGGTTAGTAATAATTTTGCTTTTATATTATCAATTTTTAATTAAACACGAATGAGAATAAACTATTTGATTTTCTATGAAAATGCTTTTTTGATCTCTGTCTATTTCTTATTGTTAGTTTATGTCATTGCACAAGTGTACTTTTGGCTGAAAGATCATTAATAATAATCACAATTCAAATACTAAAATTGTTTTGGTAAAGAATTGTTTCCCACTTAATATATATTGGTTAATCTTGTTGAAGGATGCTTGATGATCAGTTTACTGAACATGGACTCAATGTGATTATTACAACACTGTTATCATCAATATTCATTGAAACACACCGCTAAAAAAAAAAGGACATATGGGCGAAATACATTCGTTCACGAGATGGTAGAGTACGAATGTTTCCAACAATACAAAGTCTTCTTCAGAATTTCTAGAGGATGATAAGACAAAAAATTTTCCTTCAGAATTTGATAAAATCTTTTGGAGGAAGTTTTTTTTTTGGAATCTGATCATGTTAAAAATTTTACTCTGTGCACTGTTCGTCTCATAGAGTCTATTTTGAAGTTTTCGGATTTTTTTCTCGTATGATTAGAGAGATATTCGCTAGTTACTTTCTAATTAATAGTCAATTAAGAGAGTCAACATTGTTACATATCTCTGTATCAAAAGAACTTATTCAGAACAATATCCACTGTGAAGAATCAAAGTCAAATGAAAGGTGGGAGTGTCACGTTTGGCTTGAAATGGCAAATGTGTTGATAGAATTGGTGTCTTAATGTTGTATAGGCGTGTCTCATTGTGTCTATCATGTAATTGTATGACAAAAAAAGAAAAAAAGGATTAAGGATATATTTTGAAGAAATGCAAAATATCTATGCAAATTGCCCTATCTTCTTAGCTCAAAGCAAAACTAATATCGGAGCCAAAATTAGAGAGGGTGTGATGTAAACTCAGTAACTCGGCAACGCCAATAGCTAATGACATTCAGTTTTCAGTAATTGAAAGAAAAGAACTTCAGACGTCTTTTTGAGTGATAGTGTAAAACACGAAATTAT